CACAAAGTGATTCTTATCCTTTCTAATAAATGTCTTATAGTTCTAGCGTACACATTTAGGTTTATGATCTATTAAAGAAAATTTTTTGTTTATGCAGTGATGAAAGGGTTAAAGTTTGTTCATTTCCTAAAGTGCTTCTAGTTTTCCCAGAAGCAGTTGTTGAAAATAACTATTTCTTTCTTGAGTTACATTGTCACTTTTGTCAAAAATCAATTGTATGGGTTGGAGAGATGATTTAGTAGTTAAGAACATTGGCTGCTCTTCCAGAGACCCCAGGTTCAATCCCCAACATCCACATGGCCGCTCACAACCTGCTGTAACTCCAATCCCATGGATTCTGATGCCCTCTTCTGACTTCTTCAGGCACTGCAGGCATGTGGTGCACAGATGTGCATGCAAGCAGAACACATAAAATTAAAAAGTTAAAAACAAAACAAAACAGGCAGTGATGGCACAAGCCTTTAATCCCAGCACCTCAGAGGCAGAGACAGGTGGATCTCCAAGTTTGAGGCCAGCCTGGTCTACAGGGTGAGTTACAGAACAGCCAGGGCTACAAAAAGAAATCCTGTCTCCAAAAACAAAAACAAACAAACAAACAAACAAACGAGTCAGTTGTTTGGGTCGTCGTCTGGACTCTCTGTCCCACTCATCCAAGTGTCTGTTTTTAAAACAGTTATATACTGTGGCTTTATTATAAGTCTTAAACTAGAAAGCACCACAGCTCCGACTTTGGGCTTTTTTCCAAGTTGTATGGGTTAATCCAGTTCTTCACCATTTCCACATTCAGTTTTGACGTAAACACCTGTGAGGGGTTTGATGGCATGGCATGTACTGTTCACACAAGCTTGAGGAAACCTTACCTTTTAACAATATTGAATCCTCGAAACGATGGAGGTGTCGTCTCCTGATGTCAGCCTTCTCTGCCATGTTTTGCATCTTGCAATGCACACATCTTACACATACTTAATCTTAAAAAATATTTTAGAAGGGTTTTGTCAACTTCACACAACAAGCTGGAGTCACCTGGGAAGAGGGACCCTCAGTTGAAGAATTTCCTCCACCAGATTGGCCTGTGGGCAAGTCAGTTGGGGACATTTCCTTAATTAATGGTTGATGTGAGAGGACCCAGCCCACCGTGGGCAGTGCCACCCCCGTAGGTGATCGTGGATGTCGGAGTAAACAGGCTGAGCTAGCCAGGCACAGCTAGCCGGTAAGCAGTGTTCCTCTGTGGCCGCCGCTCCAGTTCCTGCCTCCAGCTTGAGTTCCTCCTGCCTTGGTTTCCTTCCGTGACAGACTGGAACCCGTAGCTAAATGAACCCCTTCCTTCCCTTGATACCTTTGCTCAGAGTTTGGTCACAGCCACAGGGAGCAGAGTGGGAAGCTTCCGCCTCGGGGAGTGTGAGTCTTGATTCCTGTGGGCTGACAGTTCCCACAAAGCATGTGAGAGCTGTAGCTATTGTCTCCGATAAAATCTGTGTTCCCCGCTCTGTGGCTCTGGCTGCGTCTTGGCTGGGTGCCCTGGTGATGCGTCAAAGGTCCTGTTCATTTTTACCTAGCTTGCTTGTGTCGGGGTGGTTGTTTCTGTTGTTCTGTCTTCAGGTCGATTTCATTTTTTCTATATCGTTCATTTCCAATCTCATCCAATGCATTACTCATTTCAAACAAACTTTTTCTTCTCTAACAATTCCATTTTTTAAAAAATCCCCTTCATTTCAACTCATTGTGTTTTAGAAAATGCACTCCTTGGCTGAGTCTGTTTGTCTCATGTGCTTGCTTGTCCTTGCTTTCGTTGCTTGAGAAAGTCCTACATGCAGCCATTTTGGCCGAATCCACACCCACTCCCTCCCTTCAGTTCCTCCTGCTTCATCTCCCAAGTACTGAGATAATAAGTGTGCACCACCACACCCAGCTAATACATGTGTTCGTACTAAAACCTCTTATAAGCTGCTCACACACTGAGTTTTTTTATAAGACTTTTGTTTTTGTTGTTCTTTGTTTTTGTTTTTTTGAGACAGGGTTTCTCTGTGTAGTTCTGGCTATCTTGGAACTCACTCTGTAGACCAGGCTGGCCTCGAACTCAGAGATTCACCTGCCTCTGCCTCACAAGTGCTGGGATTAAAGTTGTGCACCACCACTGCCTGGCTTTAAAGACTTATTTTTAATTATGTGTGTCTGTGTGTAGTATGCTCACATGAGTACAGGTACCCACAGAGACCAGAAGTGTTGGATCACCTGAAGCTGGAGTTTAGGCAGTTGTGAGCCACATGTGAGTGCTGGCCAAAGCAGAATACAGTGTCTTGTGAAATCTGTTCTTCCATTACATTTTCCTCAGATGTTGTAGGAAAAATAAGAATTTTATCCAGATTTGCCCTTTCTTATGATGTCTGGGAAGGATAATTTTTTTTTTGGCTGGGGGGTGGGGACAACAGAGGGACGGGGGTTGGGGGGACGACGGACTTTGATCAAGACAGGATTTCTCTGTGTAGCCTATCTGTCCTGGAGCTCACTATGTAGACCAGGCTGGCCTTGAACTCATAGAGATCCATCTGCCTCTGCCTCTCAAGTGCTGGTATTAAAGGCGTGTGCCACTAGCGACAGGTGGATAATAATATTTTGTATCTGATCTTTCTGCCCCATTTTCTCTGTTCTTCCGTACGAAGGTGAAATGGAGAATAAATCCATCAGGCCGTGGAAGAAGAGTGGTCAGTCTAGGTTGCTTCCCAGGCCCAAAGGTTTTCCCTCAGGGCTTCTCTGGTGGCAATGGCTGAAATGCTTTCAGTTCATTTCTTTTTTGATGTGGAAATTTTTATGTGTATGTTTGTTTTGCCTCCACATATGTATGTGCACCTCATGAGTGTCTGGTGCCCACAGAAGTCAGAAGAGAGCATCGGATCCCCTGGAACTGGAGTTCCTGATGGTTGTGAGCCACCATGCAGATAGCTGGGAACTGGACCCACATCCTCTGGAAGAGCAACATGTGCCCTTAACTGTGAGCTGCCTCTTCAGCCCCAAAGTGATTTCATTTCTGATACAGTCATTTTCTTTTGTCTATGGTGGTGACCACGATGGCAGCATCTGTTCCATCATCCATAGGAGGCAGGCTAACCTAGGAGGCAGGTCCCAAGATGACCTTAAAATCCCAGGAGTTATTGAGGAAGCCCAGGGACGGATCTATGAAGAGCAGGTACAGGTGGGTAGAGCCTTCAGATCTGGTGCAGGTGCAGCATCCCTTCCAGCAGATGTCAGAGCAGGACGGGGATCAGACTCTGTTGTAACTGAGGCAGCCTCAGCTAGCCAAGAGTTCTGCCGCAGTCATAGCCTGTGGGGGAACCCCAGGGACAGGGAGGCCTCATCTTGCTCAGGTATCCCCTGAAGTGGCCCTCTGTATCATAGAATTCTTGGTCTGGGAGAAGACCCTTAGCTACACCTGCCTAATCTGCCTCCCTCTGTGCCCAGCATCACGTGACCTTCTTTATCTCTCTTACTGTAAAAGATGCTCAGAAGCCATCTCAGTCTCCTCAGTACGCAGCATTGAGCCTCACGAGTTTGGTTTGAGTAGATCTGTGTGTCAGTCATCTTCTAGACTTTGGTATAAACCAGGTTTCCTTTCTTTATTGAAACTTGAAATAGATATGTACTTAGAAAATGACAAGATACACTTCGCCCACATGCTGGAGCACACTTATACAGATCATTGCAGATAAACATTCTTCTTTGATGAGTTGATAGATGATATAGCCTATAATTACATAGATTACTAACTATATAGATAATAGTATATGATATGTAGAGACAGGGGAGGCAGAGGGTCTCTCTAGCCCAGGCTGACCTGGAGCTTATTAGGTAGGCCAGGCTAGCCTTGAATTTAGCCTCCTGCCTCTGCTCCCTGGGTGCTGGGATTATAGGTGTCTGTCACATTGGGAGACCCATCAAACATTATCAGTGAACAGTGATCCATGTGAGTTAAAGGACTTTTTAAGGCAGTTCCTGAAGGAGGGTGGTAACTGAAAATGGATTTTTTTTTCCCCTCTAAAGTTCCTTCACAAAGAAAAGGCTGCAACTGCCTTAACTAAGGTTGGCAGCCAGGTGATGAGTTACCAATAGCTATTAACCCCAGGATCCCTCTGAGCTGAGGAACTGGGTGAGCTGAGTGCTGTGGTCAGCAGGTCAGCACAGTTGTTTCCCACGAGCCTGTTTTCTCAACCTTGACCTGGCACCCTCCATCACTGTCATGGA